TGCGTTTTTGTTTTCTCTTCAGCAAAGCTGCTCGAAAAAGCGAATCGCTAAAACCAAACAATTAGACAAAGTCGAAAGTAATTTTACGAAAGTAATTTTGATTTTCCATACAGGAATTTTTAACACTAAAATTTCAATGAAAATACCGTTAAAAATTTAAACAGCTCGATCGTGACAAAAGCGTATATCTATCGTTTCGAAAATGTAACAAAAAAACGGAAAAAAATACTATCCTTTACATCTTGCCTATAATATCTTTACTATATAAAACTATCCTCCATAACATTTCTGATTACTTTTGTGTGAACTACTTTTATTTAAAGTAATGAGTATACACTCATTATCAACCTCTAGCAACTTCAACGAGGCTACTCTTCACTTACTTAGTTTAATAAATGCTATTGGCATGTTAACAACTTACGTTAGAAAAAGAGAAAAAACACTAATAAAACAGAAGAAAGTAAAAATGTTACCAGTTACTACTGTTACTCGATTTACTTGGCCTTAGATTATTTCTATTATGCTAAGCTGTGGCTTCACAAGTGAACAAGGGGCTTCACTTCAGTATTTCCTGGTTTTTTCCTGTTTCACATGCACGCCCAACGTATGTGTCGTACATAGGGCTTTCTCAAATCTCGTGTGAGGCGGACGATTTGTAACAGCTGAATGATGAATGACCCCAACGATTCCACAACTATTACACCGCTTGTTAAAAACTCATCGGCATGACAAGAAAATGATAACGAAGAAAAAGTGGGATAAAAATAGTTTAAGAAAAATTGGTTCCGAAAAAAAATTAGAAAAACGTTACGATGAAATATACAACGTCAACAATCGATACTAGCAGATTGCTATTGATCCAATATTTTTATTACATCATTTTCAGGATATAGAAGGTACGGAAGCACGTCTGGCTGTTCTTCATCTAGGAATCAAAGTCTACCATCAATTACAATGTGTTTCAACGTTCTCATGGGCAAAGATCCGTAAGCTCAGCTTTAAGCGAAAGAAACTTCTGGTGAAATTACACCCTGACAGCTATGTGAGTTTTACTATCAAACATTAACATTACTAGTTACCAGAAAATTTACTTTGATTCTTTGAGGGCTTATTTCTATGTACTTTATTACTGCTCTGTACCAGATGAAAATACTTTCTTGTGTGATTTTCTTGAAAATTACTTCTTTGCTTAAACAAAAAAAAATTAAATAAAAATAAAAATAAATTAGTATAAAATTTGCTTTTTCCAGCAGTACTATAAGGAAACGATTCAATTCATTTTCGATTCACGAAATGAATGTAAATCTTTCTGGAAGAAATGCGTTGAACATCACGCGTTTTTTCGTTGTTCTGCCGCTGACAATACTCGAAAAGACAATCGACTATTCAGTAAAGGATCATCGTTCAGGTAGATAGCTGGCTAAACCTTCTTAGAAGTTTTGAAATATTCTTAAACAGGAATTTCTCACTGCTGTCTTCCATCGTAATTATAAATAGAATCAGAGAAATAGTATCAATTGTATAGAGCTCAACTCAGATGGTCAAATGAATGTTGTAATAAGTAATGTACACGCGGTAACACTGCTCTCCAGGGTTGCATTTGCTTCGGGGCCTTCCTTTTTTTACAACAGGAACTCCCTTCTTCTACCCATCTTACCGGAAACCTCAATACTGTTACAGTACTAGTTTTAGCTGTTATTTCTACCTTCCATTTCCCTTTCGTTGATTTGTAGCCATCTAATACTTAAAAAACGGCAATGCCCTACAATATCGGCATCATTGCGGTCCTGTACGACCCCTGATTGGTTGATTCTGTATCGATTTTTTCCCACCAATAACGTGTTTTCTGAGCGCCACCTGATCAAATGAGTAGGAAGGAGCAGGCTGGCAATAGTGTAGAAGAAATTACAGCCAGTTTTGGAATCGAGCACCCATTTCCACAAGGATTACTTGAGATCCTTCTACAATGGCCAACGTAGTTTGCATTCAAGCATCTCTCATCAGCGTTACCGTGAAAGATTCCACCACGCTGCACACATTTGGCCATTCTTCTAGGAAATCGCCACTTTGCGAAACAATCGCTTTTGTTCATTATTGAATTTTTGCTAACCAATTCACTTCTTTGTTCCGTCAGCTCCTCCTTCCCTTTTCCAATATTGACAGCTGACAAATGAAGCGCTAATTTCTCACTTGGCCAGGGAATTTTGCATGAAAATGTCCAAACCCTGCAAAACATGATGAAAATTAGTTTTTAAGATATCACGGACGAACTCAAAAGCAACTCATAGACTACGTTCGAGAACATCACAAGCGTAGAGAACCTTTTACGAGGTAACCTTACTTTATAAACCATTAGATTTCTTTTTTCCTATTCTACTATTTAATAGTTAACTGCTTTAACTGAAACTCTTTCATTTTTTAGTCCTTTTTGTCCACTTTATTTCTACTAAGAATTATATTGTAAAGGGAGCGGTCAACTTTAACCCTTATGAATTGTATTCGTCTTTTTTATGTATCCAACTTTTGACAATCCCTTTCCTTCCTTTAGCGCCATAGGTCGTTGAAGATTAACTTATTGACCCTAATATAGGATTATCCCCCACCTGAGCCTGAGATAATGCTTCCCGTCACTCGATGGTACTTGGATTGTTTGTACGTCAAATACTGCTTGATAAGTCGATTGGAGTCAGTGAAGTTCCCGAGGAAAAAGCTCCCAATAACCAACAAGGCCAGATTCTGGATTCCCTTGCACTTTCAACATTTCTCATGTTCCCTAGAGAGAGAAAATTAAGTGGGCACCTCCATAATTCAGTAGGTCTCAGTGAAGTACTGAGCTGTTCGACGAGTAGCCTAGAATCTCCATCAAGCGAACAAGACCGTTTCGGGAGGTGCCATGCATCCACGTTTCTGTCAGAATCAGGGTATCATTTTAGTGGCATCAGGACAACATATACCCCTTGTGCACCCGTAACCCGTTTAGCCATTAAAAAGAGATGAAATGATCCCTCGGCCTAGTCATGATTCGCTCTGGGATCTGTTCCCTGGACTGTAGGAGTTTTAGCAAGCCTCTTTTAACTACTTCTCCTCCACCGCTGCTAAGATTTTTTTCTAACTGATGACACATGTTTTTTCCTTGAAATTTGTTCTTTTTATTCAAAAATATATCAATTACTGCTGTCAACTCGTATGTCAATACATCAATTACTGCTATGTCAATGTAGTAGCTGAACACATGTTGTTTCAGGCCTTTGCGTTCGGCCGCGTCTCCACGTTGTGGACCACCGTTTGCCGTCTATTCCATGGTGTCCGATCGGAAGAAAAACGGTGGTGCCCACGTCTCCTTACCTCATCTTCCGAATCAGACGCATACAATCGACAATGCAGGTACATTAGATGCGCGAGGACATCGTCACGAAATCGAATGTGCTGAGCGCCAGAAGCATCGAGCGCGACAAAAAATCCCCGCAAAAGAATCGCATGACAAAGAGAACGTGTCCCTATCACTACCGAATGTCCTTAGTGATGATTTACAAGTTGTTTGTAGAGAATTAGAAGTCGAAAACACCGATCCGCCAAAATCATTGTCTGGTGATAATTTTAATACGATACGACCCGATTATGATAATATTAGTGAGGATTCGTATCGATTATCTGATCATGAACGATCCACAAAATCCGATGTCGGTGTGCCGTCGTCGTCGTCACGACCAACGACGGCCAGTACAAACTTTGCAACAAAACGTGTAGGTAGTAATGTAGTAGTAAAACGTGTGATCTCACAAACTAAATCCACACCACATTCAACAGACGAAGAGGACTCATCGAGTAATGCGCCAACGACATCATCTACTAGTCGACGGCATCTGAAGGAATACCCGTTTAATTCCACAAACTTTGTACCCATTGAAATTGATGGTCCTAATGTGGATATATCAGTACGACGAAGTACGGGACCAATTTATACCTCAACGGGAGCGCTATTGTTAAAGCCGAAGGTTATTTCTATACACGAAAGCGATTACTCAACAGTAAAAGTTGTTCCTGATCCTACCGCTCCTGGCTCTTCCTCTGCAGTACCACCAGCACCTGTGATCCCCCCGAAAGTTGACGTGCAACCGAAAGTTGAGTACGGCGCAAAGCGACCGCTTCCTGGGAGAATCATTACAAAAGAGAACATGGTGATCACCCCTAATGGCGTTAAAGAAAGGGGTCCGAAGCCAGCTGTGATGCCCAAACCTATAAAAGCCGTTCTTCCACAGCACGCTGTTCCTCCGAATACTGCTGCCGCTTCAGAAGATCATCCAGTTGTGCATTTAATGGAACAAACGTCATCAGCGACATCTTCAAAGGATGAACCGGATCAAGAGCCAAAGTCCGAGCCCATCACAAGAGCTCCTCCAACTCGTCCGAAATTGATATCAGTGAAGAGTGAGGATAGTCCAAACGTGGAGAAATGTCATCTGTTCAACAGTGAGATTCCATATACGCTTACGCTTCGGAAGGTGGATAGCGCTGAATCGCTGTCCTTTCCCACTTTTAAGGATCGACATCGAGATTTCGACACGAGTTCCCTGAGAAGACTTTCCAAAAGCCCGGATCAGTTCAAACGGCGAAAATCGTTAGACCTGGTTCCACGGAAACGCTTGCCATCGCCTAGGAATTTCTCCTCACAAGATCATTCCATTTCGCCTACCACGCCCGAGGGAAATGTCCTCGATTACGTGATGAAACATCGTTCGCTGAGCCATGAGCGAACAGAAAAACGCGGAAAACGTGGAGATGTTCGACGACAAACCCAACCGGTACGATTTGATCTGCCACCAAGTCCATGTTCGCCAACTGTTAGTGGAAGTACACCGTTCATCAGTTGTCTTAATGATGATGTCGTCGATGACAGCGTCTCCGAATCAAGAAGCCTTCATGATGAGATGGAAAAGCTCGAAAATGCTCCCAGTGCCAGTTCCATGGATCAGAAAGACGACTCAGAAGGCAGCGAATCTTTGCCCCCGCCACCGCCGGAGGCTGTGATTCCAAAACCACCTCCACCTCCACCTCCACCAAAACCGAAGGCGATTTCGGATCAAGTGGCCGAGATGAAGACGTCAGTGATCATGACATCCGTTGTAAAAACGCCATCCACTGAAGGCTCATCGAATCCACCGCCAAAGTCGGACGAGCAAAATACGCCTTTCATCGACGAATCACCAAAAGGCTCAGATGAAATGTTGCCGGTTTCTCGTCGAACAGAAACGGGATTACTCTGGACAGACTTCTAGAGATCTATTTATATTAAAGGTGATTCAAGACATATTTTGTATTGTAAAATGTCATATGTATTTCATAATTGCCTAAGTTTTCCTTTGTACATTGTATACTTGCCTTCGCTTCAAATAGCAGCTAATATGCACCATCGCATTCCACTCGAGTTCCATTTGTTGAGTCAAGGTGATTGAGGGCGGGGCTAGCCACATGCTGTCATTGGTCACTGGCACAAGGGGCCAATCATAAAGGTTTTAAGCATGTGTTTAGCATTTTACACCCAAAATCATTACAAGGAATCGAGTCGAATACGAGTATAGCTAGTCAAGCCTCACTTATGTTGCACTCTTATAGTAATAGTACTGTGAAGTAATTGCTGACAAAAGAACGCCAAGGCATTCTTTTCGCTTCTTGTGTGTCAAGTGACCTGTCTCAGCTTACAGTGAAATGCCATTTTGTTAGTAGAAGGCCCTTTGCATGAATACCATAGATAGATGGGCTACTGAAGACCACTTAAGCAAGCTGAGGCACTTCATCTGAAGCGTGCAAGCTCTCGTGGCTGGGCATTTTTTCGTTTCCAGCAAAATTGGCCTCCTAAGTTTCATTAGTGTTTTTATTTTTTTTTGCTACTAGCAATTACTAGTAGTAGTCATAGTAGTAAAGTGGTCGTAGTAGTACTGGTAGTATAGTAGTAGTATTTCTGTTCTCAGTTTTATCATTATCATCACAACACAGAAGAGATGTAGGTAGGTACATCCATCAATCACACAAATATGCATAGTATACAGCATGCCTCACATCATTACACTGCTTGAATACTTGTGCCTTCCGCAATCAACAAATGTGGTGCTTATTACCCATGTAAACAAGTTCCTTAATAAATGTTTTATTTATATTTGTTTCTTTATCGATTGACTACACCATACACCAGAAGCGAAATCAATGTCTTGTCATTCACCGTAGTAGATGAGTGCGACCCTAGGATCCACCCACACACACACACCCGTACACTCTCACACACACCCCATAAAATTCATTTCCTCCCATATGACCGCCGATGAAACGGGAATTCTCAATGGGAATGGCTGCTGAAATCTGCAGAGAAAAATGTCATATGGGTGAAAGTGAATAGTATGCAATGTGTGCTTGATTGTTATACTTGTAATCATCGATTTTATATTGTATTTCACGTGATCAATCCATGATTTTTACTTGTGCGATCTCCATGTATGTACATGTATTGCTGTGTTTCACATGTTAGCCATATGTCATATTCTCTGTCTGGTTGTTAATATAATATTGATAAATTGTCAGAATGTATACCGATTGTACTGTACTGCATAACAATATCGCAAAAAAAGGACGATTTGCAGGAGAAAAAAATAACAAGCAGGCGACACGCAGTAAGAAAAGTCGAGTAGGAGCCTGATCAAGCCGTATTTTAGCCCCAAAATATCCCTCTGAAGTAGGACAGGGTCATGTACCCAGGGAGTATGATCTGTTAGCTGTGTATGGTGCTATTTCATAAGCTCGAAAGGAGCAGCTAAGAAAATTACTTGAAAGATAAAAAATATCAATTTCAGCAAAATCGGTTGTCCTTATTCGGAGGATCCGTGAGGTTTGTGCGGCTAGAAAATGTCTCGAATAATTATCTCAGTCAGGAGTAAGCTCCCAAATCCTTCAAAACTGATTCAC